TCTCCGACTCAGAATGGTACTATATATATGTATGTATATATTATATATATATATATATGTATATATATATATAAATTTATTATTATATATTATTATATATTATTATATATACATACATACATACATATACATATATATATATATATATATATATATATATATACGCATACATACCAATGCATTGACCTGCATCACAATTGACCGACACGTTGATAATTATTGCTTCTCTATCACTAGATATATCTCTATCATTAGTTCAATACAATGCTAAAGTTTGTAATAAAGTGTTTATGCATATCACACACCTAAACTCATATAAAACATTCACTATTAAATTTTTGTGTTGCGAAATGCAATAGACCATCGCAAGCCAAACGTCTACAGTGAGCTACAAATACGGTTTGTTTCGGATCTGATTTATGTATCGGTTAAATTGTATAATAGTTATAATGTCGATTCTGAGCTAAACTTCGGCTTTTTGGACAAACATCTCATCGCCATAGCTCCCAAAAAGGCACCAATCACGGCACAAGCCAAGCAAATACCTACCCAAGCACCTGTAGAGAGATCTTCACTAGTGGGGCACAAGACTGGTTCTGGCGTGGATGCCAGAGTTTGTAATTGGGGATATGTAGCCTGGGGCTTTGGAACATGGTGTTCACGCGGTTCAATGATGTTCCAGGTTCCATCTGACTCAGTGGAGACACAGCCGATCAGCTCGGCAAAGGCAGTCTTGTCCCCTGTAATAGCCACACCCGAGGTGTCACCAGTGGATAGTACATTTATCATCGCCATTTTGCTATCAGCGGAAATGGTGGCACGGGCAGTGGTGGGTTATACATCGACTGGGAGGGAAATCAGAACGGCCTGTGATATGATGATGTTGAACATCTCGTTGGTATCCTTTACCTCCAAATTCAGTGACAAGCCATTGGACTTTTCGGCCATGGTGGGGTCGATTTTGATTTCTAAGCTTTGCAACATCATCCAGAGTGGCATTTCAAACAGGAACGATTCGTCCAAATCTGGCTCTGGGTACGCTTTCTTGCCGTGGCGAAGCTCTTGGGTGCCTGTGAGCATGAAGTTTCGTCGGATACCGCTCTCTTCGGCATAACCGATTTGCTCCAGACAGTCAGCCTCCAGATATCTCGCCTCCATGTTTGTGGGATCACTGAAAACAGCTTGGTTCATACTTTCAGCACACCATCGGTAGTTACCGTTGTCGTGATGCCATTGGCCTCGCTCGATAACAGCCTCAATCCCACCCATGTCAGCCATACTCTCTCCACCGGGGGTAGATGCTGGAAACCTGCGGGATTGCCATCCCACCAGCCGACGTAAAACTGATATACCTCCTTGGAGTTGTGTTTGAGGTGACCGTAGTGCCCACGTGTATTAAAATATGAGTCTATGGACTTGGGCATTTCGATTGTCTCACTGAAACCCTAGTCGAACAGACTGGTCATGAGTGAATTTGATGTAGTCGCGGGTCATGGTGAGATGTTCAACTACGTTTTCGTTTCCAAACTTCAGCCAGTGATGCTGACCGATCATAGTTTGAACACGATCGCCATATCTCTGGATAGTTTGTTGAATTCACGTGGTCCACTTCACTGGGTCTCTTGCCTTCGCTCCACGGAGTGTCAAAAAGTTGTGTGCAGACATCACAGCATTCTCGTCGGTATTTAGCAGTCCCCAATTTTCAACCCATGTGTGCATTTCTGCGGGGGCCTCTGCACTCAAAGTGAGCATAAACTCAAAATTGATCCCAGCAATGGTGTGTGTTACAATATCCTTCGTGATTTCCAGAGTGTCTTCGGCGTACGCGAATAGGAAGTTGGATTGTGTGAACGAGAGAACAGCATGAATACTTGCGTTTTCGTTGGCAGGTAGGAGGTTGCCAAATTGCCACCATGCCCGTCTACCCATTTTTCCAATGACCATGTAGTTTTCGGACAGTGCCTCATCGGCAAAATTGAGTGGTGCAACAACCTGAATGTTTCCTTTGGACCAACCTGCCTCATCTACCAGTCCTAGAACCCCTCCGAAGTGGTCCATGTGGGAATATGTGAATACTACACAGCAGCTAGTGTCAGATTGGCGCCCGTGTTCGATCCAACCTCCTTCAAATAGAAGTCAAATGCCTTTTTGGGCGTTGCTTTGGTGCCAAGGGGGTCAAATACGATAAGACCTTCGGGTGCTTCAATGATGGTCATCACCGCCAGATCGAATCCACGAATCTGGTACACCTTGTCCATAACTTTGTAGGCTCCTACCCGGGTCATCAATTGAGCTTGTCGCCAGGTAGATGGATTGCCACTGTCTGGACAGGGAACATCATCGTGAATCATCTCTAGAAAGGGATCGGAATCCGATGCCAGTTGACCGTTTTCATCAACTACTCTCAGACTCGCCGGTGCTACTACAAATCCTCGATCCACATCTTCAAAGTCCGTAAAATCTGAAAAATTGAGGTTGGCAACTGAGTCAGCAATCGCCTGCTTAGTGACATCTGAAGCAGGCTTGTAACTATCGTCTAGAGCGGCCGCTGTCGCGCATATAACTGCAGCATGCAGTGAGTATGTAAACTTCACTTGCTGTGGAGGCAGGCTTGCTTTGAACCCTTGAATTTGATGGGTATCTCCACAAAAGTATTGCTTTTTTACTGTTCAGCTGTCTTCACAGAATGTTGCTGTATGATTATCATATTTGCTTCTAGATTGAACAAAGGCTATGCTGCTGTGCATGGACAATGCTGCTAGGTGTAATTGAATACTAAATAAATAGGCTATTACTCACGCGTCGAGTCTTTGTTCTTTTTTTTACAAAACGAAACGTAGTACAAAAAAATACAAGCCAGAACCAGAACCTGAGTCATAAATACACAATTTTTTGAAAATATATATTTAAATAGTGCAAGTGATCCATATTTGATGTGCCATATGCTCGGAAAACCGGCGGAGTTGAACAGTTGTATTTTAGGGGATCTGGAATTTCGGAGTTTTTCTGAATATCACCCGATTGGCGATTGGCGATTTATTTCAAACTTTTCTTGAAAATGATTTGTTTCTGAAAAATCAAAAAAGCTTACAGTAGTACATAGACCATAGTGACCAGTGAGTCATAGTCAGTGACTGAAAAGTGAAAAGTGAAAAGTCAGCAAAGTGAAATGGTTGAGACTTGAGAGTTGTCAGTTTAAGTTTTTCGAGTCTTCAGTCGTCACTCTTGAGATCTGAATCCTGATATTAGTTATATGTAAACTAAATATGTATGTAATTATGTACTATGTAGTATGTACAAATGTACAAATGTACGAAATACTAAATAATAGTAAATATGTACTACATTGTACGACTTTACGGGATAAATCTTAGCGCTCCTAAGGCTCCGAGCCCTCCGCGCGATTGGTTTACACATTTTATATAGAGCTACATGTACGCTACGTCAGTTTGACAAAATATCGATCACTGGTTGCACCTGCGCACGGCGCATTTATATGGGTACAACAGTGCTTTCTGATATCTAAGCGCTCACAAGGCCGTTCTAATCGCCAGAATATACTTCAAAATAAGTTACATTTGCATAATCAACTAAAAAATTCTTTAAGATGTCGCTCTCAAAGTCTCTTCGATCTCTCCCTGCTTCTACTAAGCAGGTCTACGACTATGTGGTTGTCGGTGGCGGAAGTACCGGTTGTGTAATGGCCAATCGCCTCTCATCGAACCCCAATGTACGAGTGGCTTTACTGGAGACAGGCTCAGATGATAACACGCCGCTCATCCGTAACCCCAGTGGGTTTTTCTGGACCGTTCCCTACAGTAAAAAGTACAACCATCGATACTGGACAACACCTCAGAAGAACTGTAATGGTAGGAACATGTTTCAGCCTCGTGGTCGCGGAGTCGGCGGCTCCTCTGCGATTAACGCTATGGTATAATTTCGCGGCTTGAAATATGACTTTACCAACTTGTGGGCTGAGGAGAATAAATGCAACGGTTGGGAATGGGAGAATGTGCTACCCATTTTCAAAGAATTTGAGAATAATGATACGCCCAAATATAACCCATACCACGGTAACGAAGGTCCTCTACATGTGCGTAGCAGAATCACATTGGCCCATATAGTAAGCGCATTGTCAAAGCAGGCAACGAGTTGGGATGGAAAACAACCGATGACTTTAATGAAGCAGACCAGTCTGGAGTAGGGTATTATGAGTACACACAGACCAAGGGTGGGCGCTGCAGCGCTGGTGTTGCCTTTCTTACCCCAGAGGTCCGAGCTCGCCCAAATCTGGATGTTATCGTTGATGCTCATACCACAAAGGTAATCACGGAAGGCAAACGGGCGACTGGAGTGCATACAGTGGTATCAGGCAGCTCAGATTCTGCTAACCCCGTAACATTCGAAGCGAAAAAGGATGTTGTCCTGTGTGGTGGTGCATTTAACAGTCCACAGTTACTGATGCTTTTAGGAATTGGCCCTAAGGACCAGCTTACTAAGCACGGAATTGATGTAGTACATGAATTGCCAGGAGTGGGTCAGAATCTTCAAGATCATGCCGACATTTGCGTGAATGCAAAAACTTCGAGAATAAGTATGCCACTGCAAATCGGGCTCACCAACCTACCAAGTCAGATTAAGCACTTCTTCCTAGGTCTCTTCATTCTTTAAAAGCAAGCCTGACATTCCCGCTAATGATATTCAAATGCATGTCGCACCCTTCTACTACAAAGATCATGGGGCCACTTTAAGATACGGTGGTGGCATCTCGGTCAAATCGTGTTATATGCGGCCCGAGTCTCGCGGGAGGGTCGGTCTGAATTCGGCTAACCCAATGGAGGAGCCACTGATTGACCCTAACTACTACGATGTGCCCGCCGATTTTGACCCCATGATGGCTGCAGTGCGAAAAAGCATCGAGCTGATTCAAACCAAGACCCTAGCAGAAGATAACCTGGTGGTCAGTGGATTTGGCGATAAGGATGTTAGCAACCTTACCGACAGCGACATCAACGAGTATCTGCGTGAAAATACTGAATCCATCTACCACCCGGTATCTACCTGTAAAATGGGTCCATTATCAGATCCTACGGCAGTGGTTGAGATCGACGCTTCCGTCATGCCCACAGTAGTATCTGGAAACACGAATGCACCTACCATGGTAATAGCCCAGAAAGCTTACAATCAAATGGTGGTCAGGATAGAGTTGTCGACGTCACCGATTCACCACTGGTAGCTAGTCAATTGTAAGTCGTGCTGAGACGACAAGAGTCTTTTCCTACCACACATCCTTCTGTCATCCTAAAAATATCAATGTACCCATATTAATTAATTATTATTACGTAAACACAACCTAAAGATTTAGCGCAATATTACTCAAATCCATTTATTTACTGTTGCATATACCTTGTATTGTGCATAGTGCACAGAAGAAACAGTCATAAAGAACAAAGGTGATATGTGTATACACATGTATGTGAATTATATGTCATTGTAATATATATATATAAGTATAT